ATATTCTATAAGATTCATTACAAATGTACACATCAAAATCATTACAGAAATATTCTATAAGATTCATTACAAATGTATACAACAAAATCATTATAGATACATTCACTAAAGCTTACATGAAAATCGTTACAACATTATTAAGAATCATTACAAATGTACACAACAACATCATTCATTACATTCATTAAAATACACATCAAAAGCATTACAGATATATTCACTAAAGTACACATCAAAATTATTACAGATATATTCAATAAGATTCATTACAAATGTACACAGCAAAAGCATTACAGATACATTCACTAAAGTACACATCAAAATAATTACAGATGCATTCATTAAAATACACATCAAAAATATTACAGATACATTCACTAAAGTTTACATCAAAATCATTACAGATTCATTCTTTAAATTACACATCAAAATCATTATAGAAATATTAAGAATCATTACAAAATGTACACAACAACATCATTACAGATACATTCACTAAATTACACATCAAAATCATTACAGATGCATTCATTAAAATACACATCAAAATTATTACAGAAATATTAAGAATTATTTCAAATGTACACAACAACATCATTACAGATACATTCATTAAAATACACATCAAAATCATTACAGAAATATTCAATAAGATTATTACAAATGTACACAGCAAAATCATTACAGATACATTCACTAAAGTACACATCAAAATCATTACAGATGCATTCTTTAAAATACACATTAAAATTATTACAGAAATATTCAATAAGATTCATTACAAATGTACACAGCAAAAGCATTACAGATTCATTACAAATGTACACAACACAATCATTACAGATACATTCACTAAAATTTACATCAAAATTATTACAGAAATATTCAATAAGATTCATTACAATTGTACACAGCAAAAGCATTATAAATAGATTCACTAAAGTTCACATCAAAATCATTACAGAAATATTAAGAATCAATACAAATGTACATAACAACATCATTACGGATACATTCATTTAAATACACTACAAAATCATTACAGACACATTTAATTAAATTGTAAATAAACAATTACACTCAAATTACGACTACTAAAATTATCTTTTTTTTATTTCAATTTTATCATATTATTTCATAAAAAGTTTGAACGTGCTCGTACATACATAAATCCGCATTTCCACGCGGACAATTTAATCCGCAAATTAATTTCGATTTAGTTGAAAATGATAATAATGAAAATGTAAAAGTGAAAAGAAATTTAGTTGTAATGAAAACTGTTTATTAATGAAATTATGGACGTAAAACTAATTGAAAAATGAAAATTTGAATCCGGTTTAAATGGAAAATTACGACCGGCGTTTGAGACTGAGGTCGAGTTTGAACTTTCTCAAAAGGAATCTCTTTTCCTTCCTTCCTTGGGTCGTTTATTGGAGGCTCGTAAAATTTAACGGCTCGAATCTATGGATTACTTTAAAGTAACGCATAAAATGGATACGATGATCATTGTCTTTTTCAAATTGTAAAAAAAGTTTAAGTTTAGATACATTTTTTTTTGTTCTTTTCAATCAATATAAAAAGTTTTCAATGAAGAAATTGTTAAAAAAGTTATAAATTGAAAAATTAATATAAAAATGTAAATAAAAATAATTAATTACGAGGTTTTTTTTAACAAAAAATGAAAACTTTACAAAATATCTTTTCCTAAATATTTCAAAACTTTCCTAAATTTATTATAATAGATTTAATTAAATCAAAAATTAGTAATATAGTCCAAATTACGAAAAAATTGATGAAATAAAGAAACATTTTCATCCCTCAAAAAAATAATCTTTTTCCTGTATTTATTTAGATCAAATTTACATATGCGGT